GTCTCTTATCTCTTATTTTTGATTTTTTAACATGGCCGGAGCCACTACCGCGTCTCCTGATATTGGATTCGCTACTGGCCTTACGGTCTCTACTGTGATTGGTCAATTCACTTACTGCTTACGTGTTACGGCCTTACGTTCTTGTATGTGTTATGGGATTAACGATTTCCTTACTGATTATCTTACTGAAGGCCTTACGGCCTTACGTTTTTCTATGTGCTCCCGGCTTTAATAGTAATCTATATATTCGCAAAGGAGATGCGAACTCGTCTCCGCAACGGCTCCGCGTTTCCCCAACTCTACCCAAAACGCCTTAAAATGCGGAGATATCCGCATTTCTGGCAACCCTGGTACCGAATAATGAAGGAGTCATGGTATAAATACAAGGGTATGCTCGACCAGCTCGACCGGTGCTCTTGCGCATGGTAACGCCCACCAACCAATGAGTATTGGCACCTTGCCTACGTCATGACTACATCATCATTACGCGGCAAATTCAAATGGTTAAAAATGAAGTAAACTATGGTAGCGTCAATTCATTAAGATAAGCGAAAGGATTTTATGAGAATGATGAGTAATAAGTATAAATTTGTGTAATTATTTTTGCATTATTTCGGTAATTATTTTTGCATCCTTTCACTGCACAAACACTCATTGTAGCCAAACGGAACGACTCCAATCCGTCATGGCAGCCATATTTTAGCCGGCCGAAGTGCTTCGAATGTAATCGAGATTGCACGAATGTGACGTAGGCAGTGATGCACAGAGGCCTCCTAAACTCGTCCACCGGTCGAGCATACCCTTGTATTTATACCATGGAAGTAACAAAAAGGAAAAACTCGCGCTTGACGTGGCAATCGCAGAGGGCCGAGAGAGCGACTCTGGCGGACGACTGCTAAACTAAAAATTAATATAGGTAACCGCTAGGCGCTGCGGGAAAAGAATGGCGCGACCTTTGATATTGACGCTAACCGCTTTAATTCACAAACAACGCAAAAAAGTAAATTTTTTTGCAGTTTTTTTCAAAATGGCGGCCAAAATATGGCTAAGTGCCAAATTTTATTATCAGATTCGTTTTCAGCAGCCAAAAATACATGAAAAAATTTGCTGCCATTAATTTTCCAGGTCATGTAATTCTTCTGAAGGTTTACCAGTTTTCTTTTCCGTTCGACTTTGCTTATTCTGGCAGTCATCTTGAGTGCGCCATTTTGATTTTCCGAAAAGGCCACGTTTTTTTTAAAAGTAGACATCTCAAGCAATTTAAGCCCAAAACGAATCCCGTAGGCACCTCTGAATTTTGGACAGGGGTGGTCTTTTTGGCAAAGAATGCCTCATATATATGGAGCGTTCTCTGTTAAATCGGTCACCCCTCTGCCCATTTCAATTTTTGAGATAAAATTCTTTTTTTGGTCTTAAAATTTTCCTTGAAATGTCTATTTTTCGATGCCGTATGGCGTTTTTGAAAATTCAAAATGGCGACTGGAATGAAAAGACATTGGAAAAATTAATGATATTGTGAATAAACGTGCACGATGTGTGATGTAGAGGTCTGATCCGCGTGCGTGCGTGCGTGGGTGCGTGCATGCTTCATTTACGTGAGTCCCCTTGCCTCTCACATATGTGTGCGCGCGCGCGTTGTGTGAGTTTGCGCGAGCGCGAACGTGTGTGCTATGTGGATGTACCACATAATTTATTTTTTAATTTTTTATCCTTTACTTTCTTCCTCATAACTGCCGTAGTGTTCCATTTATATCATTGAAATACCTTTTGATTAATACTTTATTTTCTCCCGCAATTATAAATCCATAATTCTTAAAAATTTGCGGAACAAACTGCGCAGCTTCAAATCTCTTATTAAGTTTTCTTCTTTTATCTTCTCATCATCAATTTTTTTAAAATAAAAACAATATTTTTATTTTTAGACCGTATATGTGAGAAACGCAATCAATACTAGAAATTTAAACGCATATTACGGTCGAAGCTGGATCTTCGTTGCTTTAAATAATTCCATCTTGAATTACTAATACATACTACATATATACTTGCATATATACGGGTGGCACCCAGTTGGACACGATTCAATTGAACACGAGCCACTCACAGCGCTTGAGACTACAAAGCTCCTAAACACCGGTCGATGTGATTGGTGGTGTCCAATCGAGCCGTGATCAATCGGGATCACTCCCATGTATACCATATTGTAGTCTTTTTCAAACTGCGCGCCGAATTGTTTTTCCGGACTAAATAAACGCAATTAAAACTCTAGTAATCGCAAATTAAATTGACAAGCAATTTAATAATTTGATGCTACCATCAAGCATCATATATTATAAAGATGTTAATATATTAAAACTGTTA